AATTTTGGTGTACAAATCGATGTAACAAACTTTTGTTTGAATTTCTAGGTTGTTTTTAATTTCTTTATCCATTTTACATAGAATATGACTAAGGACATTATTTAGTGTATTTTCTGTAACTTACTAAATTTTGACCTGCTCCGCAACCCAATTTTTGCATTTTTAAAATCTTTATAAATTTTGAATTAATCGTAATATTTTTTAAAAAATTAATTCAAATCATTTTGATTTATTGTTAAAATATGTCTACCATATTTGAATAACATATGACGTCAAATAAAAAAAAAGGATATGACACTTGTCCACGAACTTTTCGAATAACCCTTGTATGTACAAGAAAGTTAAGACATACTTAAGTCACCTCTACCGGCCGCCTAAGTTTTGCTAAGATTGTCGAATCTAAGTACGCTTCTAGTTAAGGTCTTAAGTTTAGGACTGTTCTTAAGTCCTACTTAAGCACGGTCTTTAACTTAAGTAGTCTTTATGTTACGACCCCCTGCTCTCCTAAAGAGATCTTATAAACCGAGGTCCTGTATCGCAGCTTCATGTAGTAGATACTAGCACGAAAATAATCCAACACTATTGAATGTGCCTAGTGTAAGTCAAAATTATCAGTTCTCCAGCGGCAAGTGTTTGCGTCTCCATATGAGTGGAGAATTCTCAAGAATGACATAAAACAACAAGTAAACAAACAAATATTTTTCAGCAGAAGCCATTACCTTTCTGTTAAGCTCTTTTGTGTAACGTTGATTTGTGTTGTGAATTGTGTTGTAGTAGGTCGCGCAATGTCATAGCAAACGCCATCTACCAAACCATAAGATAATTTTAATTACATAATATCTCAATATGACCATACGGATGATTTTAATTTTGGAATACGGTAAAAATATCATTAAGCTGTAATTTAACCCAGCAATAATAATAAATGTATCTCACATTTGTAAGCCTCTGATGAAATGTATCGTTGTGGACAAGGAGGGGTGTAATGGGTGCAGTCGTAGTTAAAGTTGTCAATAACTCTTGCATCGGAAGAACTGTACATTGCACAGAATCCTGAAGATGAAATATTTAATAAAACAAAATGGATAAGTGTAGCTACGGATAACTTAATACATGTACATTTGAATATCTGTCTTTGAGGTAATAAAAGATCTTAAACCTTACCTGAGACAAACCATGTTGGAGCACATACTTCAACTGTAGCATTTGCCCATTCATTTATTAAACAGTGATAAACAAAGGGCTTGTTGTCACTTTTACTAATTTGGTTGCAATCCTTTCTGGCTGCAGCTTTTTCCCAATCATGTTGATTTCTAGGACAATTGGGAACTTCATTAAGCGTTGACAATGACGATGGATACATAACTCCATTGCTTCCATGCAGCTAGTCAATTAAAAATGTTCAGAACTATCTATATGAATGTTTATCTACTGATTAAGGGACTAATAAAGGGAATGCAACTGAGCTGTGGATCATATTTGGCTAAGTTGCCTGAGTATAACTTCATTTGAATACAGTGGAGCCCTATTTATCCGGATTCTTTGGTTCCTAGTCAATTTGGCCGGATGTGTGAAGAATCTGGATACCCGAATCATCAGTTGAAGAAATAACAAAATAACGTTAAAAAATTCCGTTCCAATGATAAATCATCCGAATACTGAAGCATCCGGATATCTGAAGGTCACTGTACTCAATTTTTTTTTTTATTTTAGATTTTTCTTCAAGAACATTCTTCTTCCAGTTATAATTGCAGATCGGAAACAAGAACAATATGTCAAATAACCCTTACAAATTAAAATTAATGATTAATTAATTTTAGTCAATGACTCTTAGCTGCTATATTTCTTTCCTCCTAAATATGACAAATAAATTAGATGCCTTATAAAACTGCATGTAATAGTATTATAATCACTTACTGTTTTTATTGATGCAACTGATATGACAAATACAAGAAGAGATTGCATCATTTACTTTTTTACCAAGACTTTGTGTTAATGGATTGGCTGAAATATAGATATAGAGACAATAAAGTCTTTCCATATCTGAAAAATTTATTTGTATAATTACATACATGCAGAGTTTTCTGCTGAATATGTATTTTATAAAAGTGACCCCCTGCCCTAACATTAAATGATAGGTTTTTTATGTACATAAAGTTAAAGTTATAAAGATGGTAAATATTGATTAAGTTAGGAGTCTGTAGTAGTTCTGGTATCTCGTGTTTTGATATTTTGCAACATTTTACAAAATAAGTTCGTAGAACTTCATTAGCAAGGACTAAAATCGAATTATTATTAAGATTGTCTTATAGTTTGGAAAAAAAGTCTTTGACAACCAATTTATATATATCTATATACGTAAACATGTACATTAAGGAAAATATTGAAATTTTTCTATTGTCATGAAAAGAATTAAAAACCTCTCCTACAAATTATGAAGTATAATAATATTAGAAATGAGGCCATATTATAAAGGATGGGGGAAAATAGCAATCTTTCTGTGATATATTTCCTTATCGAATTTATGCTAAAGAGAGGCAAGTCTTTTGCAACCAAAAAATACTTAATTTCTTATTCATGTCGATTTATTATATTCTGATTACTACATTTTCAAGACTTGCAAAAGTCTGCTTATAATTGCGTTCCTTGCGTTCCTTTTATCAATTACATTGTAATACCTCACTATTCGTATAATTTTATCGGTATTTTACTGACACCCTTATCGGCGAAACACTATTTTCTTGTTATCGTTGACTGTTAACTTATATTATAAATGTATTCGATTTGTAGTAGCAATATATATATATATATATATATATATATATATATATATATATATATATATATATATATATATATATATATATATATATATATATATATATATATATATATATATATATATATATATATATATATATATATTTCTGTTTTATCATTCTATATGTATGTAGCTAAAAGGTTATTTCCTTCAACACTAAGACAACCTTTCAATGATAGATTGAGGGAGAAAAACTTAATTTCACGGGGTATACAATCAAGAAATTTCCTATTAGAAATAACATACAACGGGAGTAAAGATTATCATATAGATTTCTGTTTGAACAATTCCTTCTCACCGTGTTGCTGTTTTGTACTTTTGTATATTTTTGTCTGTTTCCCCAGCAGATATTAATAAGTTTATGACAAAAAAACTTTTATTTATAAAAATCTTACCTTTATACGCACGTCACTAAGTAGATGGTTATACTATGACTCATAATTAGAGGAGATAACAAGAAACGCAAGGTGCGCTTTATACAAAGAGATAAAAAAAACTTGATATACTTTGAGCAAATAGATACGTGTATTATAGTTTGTAGCTTAAGGAAATGTGTATAGCACGTATGCAAACCTTTATTGCAAGTCTATTTGTAATCTTGTAAAATCACAGGAGAGGTAAATCAGATTAAGTCATTTTCCTTTTAGCTATATACATAGTTTTTTTATATTTTCGAAGAAACTTTCTTTTACTTATTCAAATATTGACAAAAAAGGATGTTCTAGAAAAAAAATCGCAAGTCGACATCTCCCTTAAATTATAAATATGAAGGTCATGGTTAATATCTTTTTTAAAAACTTATGTCATAATAAATCTTTTATTATGATCTCGCCTGAAAAGCAGGTTGGTACATGTATGTAGTGAAGAGGGATTCCGTCTGTATGTCCTTCCGCCTATTACATTTTATCCGCAATTCCTCTTACCACTGAATGAAATCTATTGAGACGATGTCAGAATCTCTTTGTTACATAGTGCTATCGTATACCTTCTAAATTACTTTCTTGTTATGACACATATTTTGGGTTTTCTGTAATGACACATATTTTGGGTTTTCCATGGCAAAACACGGGAAATCTGTCTTTCTATAATATTGAAGGGTAACTATCTTTTATTTGCAACTCCTCCTACACAACTGAAAAAAATTAACATTTGCACTTTTTATATTAAAATAAAATGAGGTATATCAGACACGTGTCCTTAATGGAATGATTAATGGGTTCAGATCCTTACCATGCCCATTTATAAATTCCGTGTTTTAGTTTATGTTTTGTTTTCTTTATATAGGAAATTCGTTTTTCTTTAAACAATAATTTTCTTCTCTTTATTTAGGAAAAATGATTTCTTTTTCCTTATTGATAATTTTGTTTTCTTTATTAAATGGTTTCGTTTTTCTTTATTTAATAATTTCTTTTTTTTTTTTTTTTTGTTTAGTTATCCAAATTAATTAATTTGGAGTGCACAATTGATCTTTCGAATAAAGCTGATTCTTTTTGTTTTGAAATCGTATCAACAATGACGCACGGCAGACCGAGTTATTGTCCTTTCCCAGATAATGCACCACTCTATCAAGTGACATTTAAATACTACTTTTGAAGTTGCAGTTTTGTGTGAGACATGGTCTAATGGAATTGACACTTTTTTAAGTATTTAAAGCCGACTGTCCTTCATAGGTCATTGCGCCCTCTGGGTAGGGGATTGCCATTTGTCAGCAGTGTTAAGGCCTACTATAAAGAAATCAATGGTAATGTAGACGCGCGAAAAACGGTAACTTTTTAAAATTAATTTATCTAATAAGGCCGTTTAATTATTATATAACTTAAATATTTATCGATGTAACACATTATACCCCACTCTCTACTTAACTAAGTTTGGTCCCATCTATGGACAAATTCAATATTGTAAGTGCATACCCTAGTAGAAATTAAGTTAACATTTGTTTCTGCATTTTTTACCTCCTTGAAGTGCTGCTGCTTTAAAAAGAATTCGCATTTATTAGTTAAAATTTCAAGTAAATATGCTCATGTCGAAATATGTACAGTATGACCTTTACCAAGTATTTTATGTCCTTATCAAGTAACACTCCTGATTTCAAGTAGCATCACGTTTCAAGTTTAGGAAACCATCCCTTATTTATATTCAAAATTTGCTATCATATATTGAGTGCATGTCCTTGCGATAGGCGATTTAATAAGCCAACTCGATGTTAACCATGCCAAACCTGTACACAAAAACACGATAAAATTAATTATATACATTCCCTCTCTAATCATTGAATAATTGCGCTAAATAAAGGTTTTATATTAGTATTAATAGCCTATTTAAAATCTGTAAATAATATTCTGTTTTAAAATGAAATACATTTTACAATATTTACATTCAGTGCAATTGTCTTTATGAAATCCATTACAAATCCATGACGTTCCAATCTCTATAACACACGCCAAACCTTGTTACCGCGCGTTAGAATATACAGTAGGAACTATATGCATTTTCAATACTTTATGAATACCAAACTGTACATTGTTTGACAAAATTTAATTTAAAAAAAAAAATTTACCAGTTTTAAAGGGCGCTAAATTCACATCAAAGAATACCGAAATAAACTATATGAAGAGGAAAAACGAAAGAGTGTAAATATAAGTATAATTGAATTCATATTTTGGTATGTTGGTATGACAAATTATCATACCGCGCTATTCAATTTTTCGGCACGGCCAGGTGTGTTTTAGGACCGAAGACACCCCAAAATATAAATTCAATGCTTAATTGTAAAAAATATAATTGATCTGTCTTTCACAACACATAAAAAACGTCATTATTACCAAAATGACGTCATGTCGACAAGTTTGCTGCGATTAGTTTATTAAGCTAATACAGTTTGAAATTGCAAATTATTTGATTTTCTAGTATTATAAGGAATACAAAATGTATCTATTTTTGTGTGACGTCGCAGTAAATATTTCCCCTATAAATAAGGCCCCACCTCCTTTTTCAAACCTTGATAATGCTGCGTTGACACTCACCGGTTTTTTCCTAAATATTGAAAAACAGATGTAGATGTTCCTTTATTATTAATCAAATAATAAATAATTAACTATTGAATTTATTAAATATCATTTAATTTGTGAATTTATTATTATTTCATTTATTTATTTATTGATTAAAAAAAAGTTTAATCTTACTGCCTCATCATTTACGCTCCCCATATATACAACACCATATGTTGTTTACAAGTTTATCTTTTAAAAAGATAGGTGAGCTAGCGCCGTAGCCATTTTTAAACACAGAAAGGAAGATCCGTGATCAAGTGAATTATTTTTCTGAATTCTTTAATTTTTATCGAGGCTGGAGAGTGATAAAGTTATTATTGTTTTGTGAAGCGTATTTTGTAGACACATAGGAAAAGAAATACGGGTGGGTGGGTGACCTATAGTATTAGAGTTCTGGCGCAACGGAACATACATGTATACATGTATAACCTTTACTGGAGGGGGGGGGGGGGCTCTATGTAATATGATGAAGATGCCGATTGAGACATTGCATGTATGAGCTGATTTAAAGAAGAGAATTGCTTGGAATTTAGCAAAGAAAATACATGGGAGTTGAAATTTAAGGAATATAGAAAATAACTCAGTGTATGCTGTGAAGCCCGGAGAGTCCAGACAGTTTGGAACGCATGTGATGTAGGTACTTTGGGTCATCTTTGCCAAGATATCATGTTACTAGGTTAAAAGCCATGCATACACATCAGAATTTTTTAAACGCAAATAGTGGATTTATTCGTTATTTTTAGTGTACATTCTTGTTTCTGTTTCTGGAATTTTGAAGATTGGCTGAATTGACCAATCAGAAATTAGAATCTATCTTTGGTTGTGCTTATAGATGTAAAAAAAAAAAAAAAAAAAACTCCCTGGTCATTGCTAAGAAGAATCAGATAATGACTCGGGCTTTTCTGTCAGCAAACAAAACCCCCAGAATTTGAAATACTGGTAGTATAAATATGAAGTTATCTTTAAAGTGTAAGCTACACAATAAATAAATATTTATTTCATGCTACAAAATGATACAACGAAATTGTTATCGTACGGTCTAACAGTAATAGATTTCACAGTTTTCCCAGAATGCACGGCCATGGCGGCCGAGCATGCGTATTCAAGGGATTTGGACTAACGTAGTTGCTAGCGCTCGAGAGCGCTAGCAATAAATGTAATGATTGCTGAAGTGAAGGAAAAATGTAATTGAAAAAAAATTGTGAAAATGATCAAAATGATTTTTATTGATAAAAAAGCTCAAAGTAGGTGATACGTTTATATATATTTAAACTGTTATGTGATGAAAAATGTTGCATTTGCTTGCATTATTCGATTGGCATTGGAAAATTTTCCATTCGTGTTCTATAATCTTTCATTTATCTTGTATATTCTCCATTTGCAAGGTGATTTGAAACTGTATTCTATAACATTTTATTGAAATTATTACATTCCTTTTTCTTTGTATTGTATAATATTTATTTTTATCTCATACGTGTGGGTGATACAGGTCGTTGGATAAACTTATGGTTTATCAACGGGTAGATGCTTTATCAATAGCACTTCCGGTTTTGACACGATCCCTCGCTTCAAAATTTTATTTGAAACTTTTATTTGTGATCCCTATTATTGCCCTAATAAAATGAATGATAAAGAGCGATAATATCGTTAAAAGCGAGAAAAGGCTCGTATATGTCAAAAAAGTGCCTTAATTTATCAAGGAACCTGTATTGGCTACTTGAAGACAGATTTTACCCCCCCTTTTTAAATCCTTTTCGGAGAAAGTAAAGCCTATCAGTTAAGTTGTTGTTAAAAGATTCCTTTAACATCTTCAATAATGCTTTCTTATATCATTGTATAATTTCTTATTTGTTTTGGAAAAAATACTTATTTGAATATAGTTGAGGAAAATAAAAATGTTTTTAAAAAACGATTTTAAAAAATCGTTTTTATTGATGTGTGTTCAATGTAAAGTGTGTATTTTCTAACAATGTCTGACACAAACAATTTATATAAAATTACAACCCTTGAGTTCATTATTACTAATATCACTGCATTTAATAGAGGGCGGAGCCCTCTCACGGGCCCGAAGGGCCCGTGAGAGCGAAGCTCTCCCTGTAGGTAACACGTATGTATATGAAAAATAAAAGAAATCTATTGTAAACTATATGTCATTTACAATACCTATGGAACTGAGATTCTTGGCGACAACATGGCGTCGTCACAAATGGCGTCGATTTTATCCACGCGCAAATTCTCGTTGCTGATGAGACTTTCATCAACGTAAAAACATTTAATCCAAGGATAATGTATAGCAATTCTTTTTTACTTAAAATCAAATCCATTAGTAATCAGACCCTTCCTACTTTCGTTTTAGACGTTTAGATTTATTTATAGTTCGCGCTAACAAGTAAAACGGCATTTGATTGGACAGAATTCCCTAAAGG